CTGTTGCTCGCGAGGATCGTGTTTTATGAACTAGCTGCCTCCACCATCGGTGGAAACGCGTTTTTTTCCCCCCGTGGGAACGAAATTGAATGGATACGGTTTACAGCGGCGAGGAATTGCGCGACGTTATCCGGTGTAGAGAGGGCGATGTGCTGCTTTTACGATCATCCCTGAGTGCGACTGCAGTGAAACCAGACCACCCACGATCCTTTGGAAAAACGTGTTAAGGAACGACTTTTTCATCGACTTGGCCCGTTTTATCGTGTAATTGCGGCCGATTATACGCACGTTTTGTCGCATGTACATATATATTCGCGTAAAATTTCACCTTGCACGTGAAAGTGCACGGGGCGGTAAGCTGTTTAAATTAAGCTGCTTTGCCGCCGGATAACTGGGTTTAAGGGAAATTACGTGTGGGGCGTTGTTCGTTAAAGTTTCTACGATTAAACGACGAGAAAAAACGGCGCGAGAGCGAAACGTTGCGAAGCGTAATATTAATTTTCCCTTCCCTTTTCAGCCTTTCTCGCAGCGCGACGCTGATATTAAATATCACGGATCCACCGGGGCACGGAGGATCTCTCTCTCTCTCTCTCTCTTTCTCCAGGAGGGAAGCGCGTCGTTTAAATAACTGTTCGAAGGCTGAAATAATATCTTATTCTTAGTATGCAGGTCAGCCGGTTCCTTTCAATTATTATTATCGACGCTGCAATCGTTTGACCTGGCGGCCTGATTCGACCGAAAGGACTTTCGATACCTTACCTTGCAGGCCACCGAGATACGTATCCATCTTTCTTGCTGTTTTTCTTTTTTTCTATTTCCCTTTTCTTTCCCTTCCCTCCCCTGCAAATCTCTTCCTCTATCAAACGGTGTTTCGAAGCGCTAGATAATATCGATGGAAGATGTCGCGTACGGATCTCCGCGAATCGAAACAGACACTTCACAACGAAATACGCAGATTCGCGTTCTTCGTACTCTTCGGGGCCAGAAAGACTGGAAATAAATAATAAGATGTGACTTGGTGATGGACAAAAGGTATTCGCTTGACAGCGAAAGAGAGATGGATGGAAGAAATAACGAAACTGAATTGTCTAAAAATATTTATTTTATTCTCCTAGACTTTTTTTCATATATATATATATATATATATATACACACACACATACATGTATACACGTACAC